GTAGCTGGGATTACAGGCACCTGCCACAATACCCAGCTATTTTTTTGGTTGCAGCTGTCACTGTTGTTTGGCGGGCCCAGGCTGGATTCCAACCTGCCAGCTCAGGTGTATGTGGCTGGCGCTCTAGCTGCTTGAGTTACAGGCACCGAGCCACAAATTGTGTTCTTTTTAAGCCTTTGGTATCATGGCAAAAGAGTATAACGGTTTACCAGGTCAAAACAAACTTTCCAATGATGTATTTAAAATGTTAGAAATCAATACAGAGCATAAACATGATATCTTCAAAGTAGACAAATTAATTTTACTTGCCCCTTAAACTAATACAAATATTAAAATACAATTGATGAGATTAAACATGTTCTCTGAATATTCATCGTGAAGTTACGTGCTGTTCAATCCATCATCTCACAGGACTTTTACCCAATTCTGTTTATCACTGTGGAAGAAGGACTATTTCTGTGGTTAGGACAACAGGAAGTAAAAGATAAACACTCAGAAGAACATTTTCAGAGCAAAAAGGGCTAAAACTGAAACCATAAAAGTGTAAATCTTAGTGACATATGCGGGTTTATTTTAGCTTTTAGATAAAGGGTTGAGGTGCTTCCACTTTAAAGATATAACAAAATAAATCAACTAGGTTAACATAATTCCTCCTAAAAGAATTTTTAAGATATTTAAAACAACTATATTTTATAATAGTCTAATATTGCACATAAAAAAGACTACTTCAATTCAGAAAAAAACACCCTATAATTTAGTTCCCTCTTAAATCATTTTTAAGGAGACTACCACATTTTACCACATAAGCCTCAGGACAAATTCTGTGGGTTGAACAGCTAGCCCCAAAGTGACCAGGCACGTTCACCTTGCCTCAAAACCGCCACAGGTGAGAGAAAGAGGCTGACGTATAGGTGAATTCTGATTTCTTAGTAAAATTTCACTTTTGAGCAACTGTTGGAATGATTCCCTTCTGCAGTTTCACTTAGATACGGTATTTAGGTTTATCCTGCTCTGCACAATAAATACATTCTAAAAGCTAACAAGATACAATTTTTATAATAGGATTCATATTTCCAATGGCTTATTATTTCAGAACTTTGTGTGACCTTGGCTATGATCATTAAAGATTTTCATTTCTATCTGGTCTACATCAACATCTCTGCTGGCTTGGCGCCTGTGGCTCAAGCGGCTAAGGCGCCAGCCACATACACCTAAGGTGGTGGGTTTGAATCCAGCCCGGGCCGCCAAAACA